GTACTAAGCGGGAATACTGCTTGTGCATCCAAATTCCTTGAACCAAGTTTCTTCCATGAGTGTCCACCATACCTACCTATATGCGGTATTTACCTGCCATTCCAAGTAAATTTGCATGTGCCAAACTCTAAACCTTCAAATAATAATCTGTTTTGTATGCCCGAATCGCTCATGTAGCGACTAGGAGCTGTCAGTATCTTCCATGCTAGGTGGGTTATTCTCAAGATGAGTGGACTCCGCTCATCATTCACGAGAAAAATGGCTGGTAACCGGGATGCCTAGTCCCATGATCAAAAGATCAAAATCAAATCAAAAATAATTGCAAACAAAACTCCCCAGGATTGATGTTAGTTGGAGGCACCCGTTGTTTCGGGCAAGCCATGGATTGGTGATTGTTGGTGGAGGGGGAGTAAAAACTTTACCATTCTATTTGGGAACAGCCTATAATGTCTGTAGTATGGAAGATATTGGGAGCTCTTGGTTGTTATGTTGACAATGAAAGCATACCTCTCAAAGTATTTATCTCTATTTAGAAATCGAACTCTGGCACCTCTGCAAATCCCTGCTTCTCTCTGCGAAGGGCCTATCTTTTACTTTTATGCAAGAGTCAGTAGTATTTCTTCTCATTCCAACCTACTCTTTAGTTGGCAAGCATCGTGTGTTGGGGAAAGATCTAAGCATATATGTCCATGCAAATATATTTGATCATGAATTATTATTGTTGACAATTATCTATATGATAAGTGAGTTGGGGGGCGAAACACTAAGCCCCTATCTTTCTCTGTGTTTGATGGATGCTATTTGTTCTAAGAATATGCTTTGAGTGGTAGCAATCATGGAAGACTATATGATAGTTGAGTATGTGGAGTTTGCTAAATCAAAGCTCTGACATAGACCCTTCCTGAAAATAGGATGAATTGCAATTGTTTGATGACTGAGAATGAAATTTGCTAGTTTTCAAGAAAGTTTATGATCTATGCTTTAACATGTGAATAACTTGTTACTTGATCTTGAGAAGTTTTATGAGATGAACTGCTGTTATGACATATAATGATGCTAGAAAAGGTGATTGAAATTATCATTGATCAAACCTGTGCACCTGCCAGCATTCACACTTCATAAATTCTTTCTTTTATCATTTACCTACTCGAGGACGAGCAGAAATTAAGCTTGGGGATGCTGATACGTCTCCAACGTATCTATAATTTATGAAGCATTCATGCTATTATATTACCTGTTTTGGATGTTAATGGGCTTTATTATACCCTTTTATATTATTTTTGGGATTAACCTATTAACTGGAGGCCCAGCCCATATTGCTGTTTTCTTGCCTATTTCAGTGTTTCAAAGAAAAGGAATATCAAACAGAGTCCAAACGGAATGAAACCTTCGGGAGCGTTATTTTTGGAACGGAAGCAATCCAGGGGACTTGGAGTGCAAGTCAGGGAAGCTTCGAGGAGGCCACGAGGCAGGGGGCGCGCCCACCCCCCTGGGCGCGTCCTCCAGCCTCGTGGGCCCCTCGTGGCTCCCCTGACCGACTTCTTTCGCCTATATATTCCCATATACCCTAAATACATCGAAGACAACAATAGATCGGGAGTTCCGCCGCTGCAAGCCTCTGTAGCCACCAAAAACCTCTTGGGAGCCCGTTCCGGCACCTTGCCGGAGGGGGGATCCCTCACCGGTGGCCATCTTCATCAAACCGACACTCTCCATGACGAGGGAGTAGTTCACCCTCGGGACTGAGGGTATGTACCAGTAGCTATGTGTTTGATCTCTCTCTCTCTCTCTCTCTCTCTCTCTCTCTCTCTCGTGTTCTCTCTATGGCACGATCTTGATGTATCATGAGCTTTGCTATTATAGTTGGATCTTATGATGTTTCTCCCCCTCTACTCTTTTGTAATGGATTGAGTTTTCCCTTTGAAGTTATCTTATCAGATTGAGTCTTTAAGGATTTGAGAACACTTGATATATGCCTTGTCGTGCTTGTCTGTGGTGACAATGGGATATCACGTGATCCACTTGTATGTTTTGGTGATCAACTTGCGGGTTTCGCCCATGAACCTATGCATAGGGGTTGGCACACATTTTCGTCTTGACTCTCCGGTAGAAACTTTGGGGCAGTCTTTCAAGTACTTTGTGTTGGTTGAATAGATGAATCTGAGATTGTGTGATGCATATCGTATAATCATGCCCACAGATACTTGAGGTGACAATGGAGTATCTAGGTGACATTAGGGTTTTGGTTGATTTGTGTCTTAAGGTGTTATTCTAGTATGAACTCTATGATAGATTGAACGGAAAGAATAGATTCGTGTTATTTTACTACGGATTCTTGAATAGATCGAGCAAAAAGGATAACTTTGAGGTGGTTTGTACCCTACCATAATCTCTTCGTTTGTTCTCCGCTATTAGTGGCTTTGGAGTGACTCTTTGTTGCATGTTGAGGGATAGTTATATGATCCAATTGTGTTATTATTGTTGAGAGAACTTGCACTAGTGAAAGTATGAACCTTAGGCCTTGTTTCTTAGTATTGCAATACCGTTTACGCTCACTTTTATCATTAGTTACCTTGCTGTTTTTATATGTTCAGATTACAAAAACCTATATCTACTATCCATATTGCACTTGTATCACCATCTCTTCGCCGAACTAGTGCACCTATACAATTTACCATTGTATTGGGTGTGTTGGGGACACAAGAGACTCTTTGTTATTTGGTTGCAGGGTTGTTTGAGAGAGACCATCTTCATCCTACGCCTCCCACGGATTGATAAACCTTAGGTCATCCACTTAAGGGAAATTTGCTACTGTCCTACAAACCTCTGCAATTGGAGGCCCAACAATGTCTACAAGAAGAAGGTTGTGTAGTAGACATCAAGCTCTTTTCTGACGCCGTTGCTGGGGAGGTGAGTGCTTGAAGGTATATCTTTAGATCTTGCAATCGAATCTTTTTGTTTCTTGTTTTATCACTAGCACAACGTGGTTGATGTAGTCGTACGTCTTCACGATCCGACTGATCCAAGTACCGAACGTACGACACCTCCGAGTTCAGCACACGTTCAGCTCAATGACGTCCCACGAACTCCGATCTAGCAGAGCTTTGCGGGAGAGTTACGTCAGCACGATGGTGTGATGACGGTGTTGATGATGCTACCGCTACGATATTACCGTGGTGTAATATGGTGGAGGGGGGCACCGCACACGGCTGGGAGAGATCAACAGATCAACTTGTGTGTCCATGAGGTGCCCCTCCCCCGTATATAAAGGAGTGGAGGAGGGGGAGGGTCGGCCCTCAACTATGGCGCGCCCTGGGGAGTCCTACTCCCACCGGGAGTAGGATTCCCCCCTTCCATGTAGTAGGAGTAGGAGAGAAGGAAAGGGAAAAGAGAAGAGAAGGAAGGAGGGGGCGCAGCCCCTCCCCCTAGTCCAATCCGGACTAGGCCTTGGGGGGCGCACAGCCTCCCCTCTCTCTTTCCCCTAAAGCCCAATAAGGCCCATATACTCCCCGACGAATTCCCGTAACTCTCCGGTACTCAGATAAATACCTGAATCACTCGGAACCTTTCCGATGTCTGAATATAGTCGTCCAATATATTGATCTTTACGTCTCAACCATCTCGAGACTCCTCGTCATGTCTCCGATCTCATCCGGGACTCCGAACTACCTTCGGTTCATCAAAACACATAACTCATAATATAAATCGTCACCGAACGTTAAGCGTGCGGACCCTACGTGTTCGAGAACTATGTAGACATGACCGAGGCACGTCTCTGGTCAATAACCAACAGCAGAACCTGGATGCTCATATTGGCTCCTACATATTCTACGAAGATCTTTATCGGTCAAACCGCATAACAACATACGTTGTTCCCTTTTGTCATTGGTATGTTACTTGCCCGAGATTCAATCGTCGATATCTCAATACCTAGTTCAATCTCGTTACCGGCAAGTCTCTTTACTCGTTCCATAATGCATCATCCCGCAACTAACTCATTAGCTACATTGCTTGCAAGGCTTATAGTGATGTGCATTACCGAGAGGGCCCAGAGATACCTCTCTGACAATCGGAGTGACAAATCCTAATCTCGAAATACGCCAACTCAACAAGTACCTTCGGAGACACCTGTAGAGCACCTTTATAATCACCCGGTTACGTTGTGACGATTGGTAGCAGATAAAGTGTTCCTCCGATAAACGAGAGTTGCATAATATCATAGTCATAGGAACATGTATAAGTCATGAAGAAAGCAATAGCAACATACTAAATGATCAAGTGCTAAGCTAATGGAATGGGTCAAGTCAATCACATCATTCTCTAATGATGTGATCCCGTTAATCAAATGACAACTCATGTTTATGGCTAGGAAACTTAACCATCTTTTGATTCAACGAGCTAGTCAAGTAGAGGCATACTAGTGACACTTTGTTTGTCTATGTATTCACACATGTACTAAGTTTCCGGTTAATACAATTCTAGCATGAATAATAAACATTTATCATGAAATAAGGAAATAAATAATAACTTTATTATTGCCTCTAGGGCATATTTCCTTCACCTCCATCATGCTGAAGATTTCCTCGACAGACATGTTTACTCAAGCCGCGACAGGCCGGGAAGGGTGTACTCCCATGAACGCCCACAACCTAAAGCTAGCGCCCAAGGGAGGTGCAGGTGGCTGCCGCGGTGGATCAGATTTGTGCAGGGCGCCGGTGAGCTTGAGGTGAGGGTTTATACTTTTTGCAAACATTAATTGAATCACCTGTTCATATATACTTAAGAGAGAGAGAGAGAGAGAGAGAGAGAGAGAGAGTGAGAGAGAGAGAGAGAGAGAGAATTCTTAATCTTTGGCTGAATCTCTAAAAAGGTTTTGGAAATCCTAGTTGGGCAAGTTCTCATATGGTGCCGTGCGCGTGTGTGACATGCTACAATTTAGCCTATTTATTAGACTCTCACGCGTGGACCATTGGCCACGTCACGGCAAAGTTCCAGGCTCCATGGTTAGGTTTACCCTTGTTCGTGGCCATCTTCGCTTCATGGTGGCCGCGCGGCCGCTGCCTTCTTCCGGCATGTCCGTTTTGGCAGTTCGTCGCGCTCGGCAGGCTCGTGCAAGGTACGCGGGGCATCACCACCATCGATCATCGCAAGAACCTTTGCCCCGCCATCTTCGCTGATCCATTCTTTCCATACGTGCAGGCCTAAGGGCAGCCGCATGGCGATCGAGAGGCTCACCGACGACCTCCTCGTCCAGATCCTCTCGCGCATACCCGCCAAGGTGGTCTGCCATTGCAAGGCCGTCTCCAAGCATTGGGTCGATCTCATCGACCACCCCGACCACCGCAAGAGGCTCTCCCAACCGCTGACCGGCTTCTTCTACAACAGCACCAACAAGCACCGCTTCCCGATATCAGCCGTGCACTTCGTCAATGCGTCCAGTAGGGGCTGCCCTTTCATCTGCCCTTCTCTCTCCTTCCTTCCCAGCCACCGCCGCCTCAACCTCTTGGACTGCTGCAATGGCCTCCTCCTCTGCCGCCGGTACGACGCCTCCGCCGGAGGCGACGAGTTCACGTACGTCCTGTGCAACCCCGCCACGGAGGAGTGGGCGGTTGCCTGACCCTGGTCAGGCTGTAGGCAAAGTGGACACGGTGCATTTGGGGTTCGATCCGGCCATGTCCGCCCACTTCCATGTGTTTGTGCTGGATGTGATCCTCTACTTCATCTGAGTGGATGTGTATTCGTCGGAGACTGGCGGATGGATTCACAAGGACAAGGGATTGGACCGAGATTTCAGGATATCCGGTCCTCGACCGACAGTTGTCTTTCTTAACGGCTATTTGCATTTCCGCACTATTTGTGATCGGCGTCCTTGTATAGCTGTCGTGGACACCAAGGGAGAATCATGGTTGAGCTTCGATATCCCTTGTAGCGGTAATGTATTTCTTGATTTCATTCAACAGTTACAGCAGGGTCGCTTACATTATGTCAGCTTGAACACTATTTATAATAATTATTATAGTGATATTCAACTAGAAGTTTACGCTTTCGACGGATATCCCGGCAAAGATTGGAATTTGAAGCACAAAGGTCAAGATGGAGACGTCAAAAAGTTTCGAGGGGTTGCTCAACGTTACTTTGAAATTTGAATGGACTGCGATTGATACAGAATGTAACTTGATCTTCTTCATAGATGGGCCACTTTGTAAAACATTAAGGTGTTATGATATGGATCGTCGGAAAGTGAGAAAGATCATCACCCTCGGGGAGTCCCAGACACCATATCTGCCATATGTGCCGCTATACTCGAGTTAGAATCTTTGCGTTAGTCGCATCAGTCTGAGACCTCCGACTTGTTTTTTACGAGGTGGTTCTTTGATAGGAGTCAGCCGTTTGTGCTATGGAACAGTGGGCTCAGTATGTCAGCTTGGATTTTGTTCTCGGCTTTTTGAACAGGAGTGGTTTAATGTCTGCATGTTTTTAAGTTTGGAGCAAAGGTGGTTCTGTATGGAGGCAACTAGGACGACTTCACTTAGATTAGTTATTTGAATTTGCACTAAACTTTCAGTACTGGCTTCTTCTTATATATAAATGGTAAATGGCACTGCTACCTCCACGTGTTTGGTTAACCATGTTTTGTGTTTCAGCGAATGTAATGTGTACAACGATAGCTAGTAAAAAAAGCCATGATGAATGTCATGTAGTTTAAACATATATGTTCAGCTTGCAGTTGTGACATTGACCTAGTAAAACGACCCCTTGTTCCATAATGATATAATCTCCTGGCGGTCACTTCCTTTTATCAAACCCATTAGGGCATGCCCAACGGGCTGCCCCATGGTGCTGCTCCGCAGGGCCAGCTCGGCTCGGATCCTGCAATTCAGGTTCGGGTGATGCTTTGGAGAGGAGGCGGTCTCCTGCAGAGGAGTTAGCCGCTCTAGGATAAAAGTAAGGGAAATGTGGGAAAAGGGGAAGAGAGAAGGTGGGGCGCAAGGGGCCTCCATTGCTCATGCCCTTAAGAGTCGCGCAAGGGGCGCCCTCCCGTGCTAGCCACGTCGTCACAAGAAGACAAAAAGAGAAACAAGGTCCACGCTCCTGCACAGCTCGCTCGATCCCCTTTCTCCTCTCTCTC